ATGTCTGCTGGGGATCCACGGGAGCCTCTTGAGGGGCAAGATATGTAGGGCTGAATGCTCAGGCTCTCCTGGATACAGTGGCTTCCTGCTTCCAAAACTAATGGAAGGAGAAGATACTGCACTGCCCCAACCAAAAACCTGTGTCAGTACTGCCATCCAGTCTGCTGTTCAAGCATTCAAGCAATTGAACAGATCCAAGAGTGCCCTGTTAGCACATGTGAATGGGGGATCTATAAATCACCTTCTAATCTGAAGCCTATGAACAAAATCCTAACACTGTGTCAGTTGAAACACCAATTAATTTTGTGGGGTTTTCTCAGGAGAAGGTACACTTGCCCAACTGTACCAACAGCATACTGTTACTCAGACTGTGTCAAGACCCCCAAACTAGTCACAGCCCTGATAAAGAGTGAAGCTAACCGAAAACTTCTTTCTCATCCACACACTTCCTTTCGGAAGGTGACCAGCACAATGCTCACCTGCTTTACAGCATCAATTCACAGCCTTTGTGTTTCTTTCTGTTCAGCTAAAAGCATGACCCTTCAGCTAATCCTCCCAGAGGAGAATTATACTCTACAGCAGTGTGGTAGGAGCAGTCTGATCTGGAACACACTTCTGTCACTAATGTGACAGTCCAATGGATAGGAACTCTTTCTCAGGATAAAATATCTGGGAAACAGGCTGGTGAACAGTGGGTTATGGCCCTCCGCCAGTTCACATGCTAAGACAGCTTACAGACCTTGGACTTCTGGGAAAGGGAAACAGATGTTTCAATTTGCACAGACTGTTTCTCTGTATTTTTTATCCACCACAGCTCTTAATGATGCACTCACTATGCAGTGCGTGGGCACAGGGACCCCAGCGAACCCTTACAGCTTGAAACATGAATTTATATTAATGCCTTACTGCCCATGTCTTCTTCTCAAGCAAAATCAAAGTGAAAAATGCTTTAAGTTGTAGCTCCATGATCTAGAGAAGTGTTTCTCGTTACATGATGAAAGCACATACACTTAAAACAGAGATATACAAGTAGTCATTCTTAAGCTGTATTGCTTCTGACACTTGAAAAAATTATTCCATACAACTGTTTTGATAATTTTACTGATTTACTAAGTAATCATTGATATTAGCATGAGAATAGTAGACATTTTAATTGAAACCTAACAGCTGTTTGAAGTCAAACTCCTCACATAATAGACCTCACACCTACTGTCAGCATGGTTCCTCCCTGAATGAGTGGAAGCAAGGAGAGAAAAAAAAAAAAAAAAGAAAAGGCAACTGCTTTACCAACAATTTGTAGCCTGTGGATTACAGGCAAAATAAACTTTATCTAGGCAACACAGTGAGATTCTGGTACGTTCTCTTTGTTTTCTAAGCACATGATAACAAGAAATAATCATTAAAAAAAAATTAGAACCTCAGCTGCAGTGTTGTCGAATTCAGAAGCAAATGCACACCATCTCCCTGTCTGCAGCAGTCACACCGGCCTAAATTGTATGGCAAAGGGGGGGGCGGATGGGGGAGGATACAACAGATTGAAAGCTGGTATCTCTATGTATGGAAAGTTTTCACCCCAGCAGACTTCTCACTGCAGAGCAGGATTCTTTCTCATTGCACTATCACCACTTCATATCTGAAATGTTTCATATTTAGGTTACACTGCAGTATGATGACTTCCTATCTAAAGCAGGGCAATTTAAGGTTATGAAATTTCAGTTTTCTATTGTTATGGAGATTCTGCTACAACAAACATGTTTTCCACTTCTCTCTCCATTGTCTATTTTGCATTTCTCTATCTTCCAAGATATTTCTATACAAAAATTTTAGAAACATCAAGTTTTATTTCCCAGCAGAATCTTTCATATACTCTGTAGAAGATAATATGTCTGCTGTTCTTTGACAGCATTTTATTTGTAGCTCTGCATTATTTGATTGCAGTGGGGATAGGCACTAAAAATCAAAATGTGTATTCTAATGGACAAAACATGCCAGGAATACTAATACTCAGTTTTTCTAATTAGAACTTTGAGTCCAGTATGCATGCTTTCAGCAAGCACTTTAAAATAAGGCTTGAGTTTTTCTTTGATGGGCTGATAATTTTCAGAATCCTAGAGGAAGGTCAAGCTTAGCATGAAAAATCTGGTTATATACACGAAGTTCTTTCAAGTAAAAAGGACTGTTCCAAGGTTTCAGCTTTACCTGATTAGTTACCTTCAAAACAACTCGGGACTTCTGTCAATTCAGCAGAGAGAAATAAACATATATAACAAAGTAATTATGAACAAAACCACTATAAATACAGCGAATATTGGCCAAACTAAACACAAAAAAAGCACATAGCCATAGTGTGACAGGCACATTCACCTGAATGTGGAGGAACAGGAGTATTGATTTACTGCGTTTATCCAACTGTGAATATTTAATCAAATACATTCTACAATGGATTTCAAGTGGGACTGATGACTTCAGCAGACTACAGCAAAAACACACTGTCACATACACTAATTTACTCCAACGTGTATGTATAGCACACAGCTATAACTCAACCTAAGTGGCTATAAAGGGAGTATAGGCTACTCAATGATGTCTAGAGATGATAGATTAACTGTCCCCACAAGCCAGCAAAATAAAACTGAAATAACAGAAACTTACTTAACAACAAAGATGTTTCTTTCTCTTTTTGTAATCACATTGTTACTATTGAACCAGCCAGCTCCATGGCACAAATCACACCAGGCATGCAGGCATGACTTTTTGCAAGAGGAAACCTTTCTTTGGTTCCCTCAAAGGCCAAGGAAGCAAGCGATCCCGTTCCACAAACAGCAAAACGAGTAAAACTGGGTTTTCTATTGACTTATATCTTGAAGCTCAACTCATATATGGATGCTGTGGCATTTAATAAAGTCTGCATCTTTCCTAGCAGTGGATACATTAACAATGTCTCCCGATGCAGAGCTTTTTTTTTCACAGAAATTAGCAGAGAATTAGCATCTAAGATTTCTACCCACTTGTCAAAACTGACTAAAAATGACCCACGGGATAAACAGGAGAAGGGAAAGACAGGCAGACGATGTAATCACTTAAGGCCTTTTCACTAAGGAAATTAGAAAGTTGACTGAAAAGATTATCATTAGAAAGGTATTTTAACTAAAGCTACAAAGATTGTTATAGTTTTCTCCCTCTGGAATGCACAAACAGGTAAAAGTCAAACCTAAGCACTTCTAAGAAGTAAACTTAAGTCCACCAAAAATATCTCTCAATGGCAGCATTCTTAAAATGCAGAATTGAGGCTGCTGGCAGACATTAGCATGAAATCTTATGGGAAAAGTCACCATATCAGTACTAAAGGGATTTGAGGGAAACGTTGCACTTCTTACAGAATATACATGAACAGCTGCCAAAAAAACATTCCTGCTCTTACTGACTGAGCCAGTCAATAAAGGAATAATGTTAATTTCAACAGTCAGAAACAAGCATTGGAATTGGGAGAAAAATGAGAAAATCAGCACTGCATAAACAAAACTTAGAAGCTTCCCAAGCCTCTTAAACAGTAATATTAGGTTTGTTACACAATTAAAGAGGTCAATGAAAAGATGCTTTTATTTGACATCTTATGAAAAACTACACAGAAATTTCCTGAACTTTATTGACTCTTCCTGAGTTCTTTTGTAATTTGTTTTAGAGTTCTTAAATTCTAATATAAAAGAGAACTCTTTAATGCTTCTTAGCCCTCTCTGGAAGACTTGACAGAATTCCATTTCAGTTTGTAATTTCATCATGCATCATTAATTTCTGTATTTCTTTCCTGTTTTAAGTGTGCATTTCAAAATGCAGAGGAAACAAACAATGAACAAAAAGCAAATAATCCTTTTAAATAATTTCCTTGATTTTTAGTGTCTCCAGCATGCATTCTGACAAGCAAGTTTTTACAATGACTTTTTTTCTTAATTTAAGTATCCCTCATAAACCAATAGGCCCACCTTAGCTCTCCCAAGCAAACTCCAGCAAGCAAACTTGGGAGAATGAAGTCTTTAGATCAAACCTGAGATTAATTTACAAATTCAGGATTCTGAAGACAAAACCTTCCACATGCAAGAAATTATATAAATAATCAATACAGCTAATTCACAACATTCTTGGATTCATATCTGCATTACATGCTTGGAGTCTTGGAATTCCAAGCATAACAGAATGCCTCACAAATAAAAAAAGTTTTGGCACGTCCACCCTACTGTAACTTATCCAAATCTGTTTCCCAATCCAGTATTTGATATGAGGCTTTGAATGAAGATTTAAAATCTTACAAAATCTTGCATATTACTGTGTATACTATAAAGCAGCAACGAAAAAATTTTACATGCTTCTGTAACAAAGACATCATTATAATTGTAACTTTTATACACTCAAGAAAAAGGAAGTGTTCTGTTTTAGTTCACAAAGGGAAATGACAACAAAGCAAGCACAAGGGTGGCTAGTATTCATAATGAGACTCATAAATAAAGGAAATTATGTGCACAGTTATTCATAAGGTACTTTTCCTCCTTTTGTTTACCATCCTGTAAAGTTCCGTTCATGAAAAAAACAGGAAGAAAGGAAAAGGCTGAAGCAGTCAGGACCATTGCTGCCGTAGCATTAGTTTTGCAAAGACCAGAAAACAGTGTTAAGTAAAAAAAAATGTCTAAACCATGTATCTTCTTGAATACATTCAGTGAACTGCACAGAATGTGACAGAATGCTATTCAAATGCTAAACTCAAGAAATTCCTCCCAAAAAAACAAGTTTCAAACCATATGTAGATTTTCAAAATTAACAGTTCATAAACAGTGCAAGATAACCATCTTTCTGTGTGACAAATGAGGACGTATTTAGTGCAGAATTGAAACTATTTTATGTCAGAACAATTACAGTTAATTGAGAAGATAACCAGTTATAACAAACAATTAAAGCAACCCCCAACTCTCTTGTCAATTTAAATGATCCTTATATGAAAAATAAATTACCTCCATGGAGATTCGTCTGTGTATCCGGTTTCTGAGACAAACACCTGTGGGAGACTGAACTTCATCAGATGACGTTCCAGAAGCTTGGTCACTTTCCCCATCTGACCCCATTTTCAGATTTTCATGAACAATATCTTAAAAATAATCCAAAGAATTGAAAACAGTTAATCAGCTCTTTTGAAGAGATGGAAAACAATTCAATCATTACTGCGCTTCGGATTACATGGCAGAGTCAAAGGCTCATCACAGCCATGGTAGCCTTGACATATACTTTTTATGGCTCAGGAATAATCACAAAATGAATAGCTTTACTTTACAGGACTTCTACGCAGACTTTATCTTTCTTTCTCTTACTTGGACTGCAGCAGAACTCAGTTTTCCAAAACAAAAGACAAACATTTCAATACCAATTTTAATTCCTAAAGGCCCTTCCAGCTAAACTCCCTCAGTACCTCTTCTCTTTTAGCTGCTCTTGGATATACAACATGACTGAGAATATTTAGCATTTTCAAATCAGAATACCTGATGTTAGTAACCTAAATGTATCTTCAGAAAGCTTTAAAAAAACCCAAAACAGAGAGGTATAGGTATATTATTTTCAGAAACGACAAATACTGGAACTTCAGAAATAAAATGCTCTGGTGTCCAAGTGTGGAGGAATGGGATGTATTATGACCATCTAAACAGAGGCCCACAATGTACAAGTGCATTCAGTGGAGGACCTGACATTTAAGAGCAATTAAGTGAAACTTGTGATCTCATGGAGGAATTTACATAACAGACTGCCTGAGTTATGTGATGTTGCAGGATCTTCATGTCAACTGAAATCGGTATTTTTAAAACAATCCTTTAGATTCATCCACACAAAAGAGTTTATGTGTATAATATACATTACTTTTAAGCACCAAAGAATTTTCCAGACTTTGGAAGACACCGTAATGAACAAGAGGAAATCAATTAACAGTAGAGAGCCAAATGATTTGCAAAAGGACACACATGGGAAATTGGTCATACAAGCAATTCACTATGAGTAATGCTCCACTATTACTTCTGAAATACCTGAAGTCAAAATTACCCTAGCGATTAAATACTAGGTGCTTCAAAAACCACCCATTTCCCTGCCCTCTCCTGTTCCTTGATATTAAGCATTATCTTGTACAAGGTAAAAGAGAACCTGAGGAACTAAAAACCTCAGACCTCTACCCCTAAAAAAATGCTAATATTAGGAAAACACATAGAGATCAATTCAGTCTTACCACCAACACACATGAAAATATTTATCATTTGCAAAGCATTACAGAACTAAAAAAACCCCAAAACAAAACAAAAGAAAAACTGCAAGTTTTTTCACTATCAACAAGCAAGAAAACTGGATTTTCTAGGGGGAAAAAAGCCATTAGGTCAATGTTTCTTATCAGCACATCTTCACTTGTCTAGTTTGTCTCACACAGAATCATGTAGACTTCAAAGGAACAAATTCTTCTTCAGTGCAAAGAATTTCCTTTTACAGAAAATAGAATGGATATAAAAAGAAAGATTAACTCATAAGGAATTAGCAACACATATTTTAACACAAAATACTGCAATTAAACACACAAACTAAGCATGCATCTCATGCACAAAGCATATTTTCCAGCAGTGATGTGGATTTATATTGGATTTGATTAAAAATCCACGCTGCGTTAGAATTTTCTGTGCAAGTCATGCTCAGATTTGGACTGAATAAGAAAAATTAACCTGCACTCCTTACATAATAAGAAGCAATCTTTTGGTTTCAAACAAGGTAAATATTCATCAATGCTTCTAAAAGCATAGTAGTTTGAACCACAGGAAGAGATTTCCAGAAAGTGGTTCCTAAAGATCAGCCTTACCTTTAAGCTAAGCAGACAAAATCGCTAAGAAATCTCTCTTACCCTCTGTAGTGACTTGACAGCTGTATTTTTAAAAATCTCTAACAAATGGTGGGAAATTATTTTTAGTAATATAAAAGCATCATTGAAAACATTATTTGCAGCAAAGCTGTTATGACAGTGCTGTTGTATCTGGTAAAGAGCACATTCACAGTATCAGTTATTTAATAAATATCCTCTTTTCAATTACAGCTTTCGAGATTCTGTTTGTAAAATGAAGTGTAGCACCTACTGACAACTGTTCCCCAAGTTATTTATCCTCATGTTAGCACAAGCCCATTGATTGGGCCCCAAAGTCTATTTTCTTTATGGAAGCTAGGTAAGAGACAGTTATCGCAGCAATTCCGCAAAATAAACGACTGTATTTAAAAACATGTATTTTAAACCATGGAGCAATTACATAATTTCCTTTTTTAAAAAGACTGACACTTATTAAAAAGTAATTAGGGGACTGATTCTGTCATACTTTTCATGTTCAATTCACAAAAGCATCCGTATTACAAAGTTACTATAAAAAAAGGGCAGTTCAAAATGCAATGTGCAGAACTACAAAGAGCACTCCAGTTGACAAAGGTAATTCTACTAAGAAGATTACCTATGTAATGACACACAACTAAGGACTAGTTCAAGAACTAGTAACACAAACCCATACATTTGGGACAAAAAATGCAGCTGCAAGGAGATTCTACTCTTTATATATCAGGAATGTGAAGACAAAGTGGTTTGTACCACACAAGTCTAAAAATGCAGTATTTCAGACTTATATAAGATGATGATTTTGAATACTGTTGTGATTTGATTAATTCTGGTAAGTCTGGATAAGCTACATACCCATAACCAAGCAGGCTTAAGCAGGATACTGGTTGTAGCATCCAAAAATGCATCATTAAGTGCATGCCTGAGTTTCCAATGGGCTAAATACCCAACTGCTCTTATCTGTAAGGGTTTGCAGATGTTTTAATTATTTTCTAAATAGATATAATTTTAAGCTTTTTAAGAATAATTTGACTGTGTCATCATCTAATATAAATTCATCTTTTTATTTTATTGAAGTAAAAAGGCATTAGTAGAGCCTTATGTTCATTATTTTAATAGCATAAACCCCAGACTAAGGCATTAACCTAGACATTTTAATAATTTTTACACAGGTGCATGATGACATTTGATTAAGCAATGACGAAAATCATGCAAATATTTCCTTAATTTCACTAAGCTTTCTTATAGATAAGTTCTTCTGCATCAGAGCCTACTTGCAATGGTCTTCTGAGGTTTTAAACATTCAATAATGTATTGAACTGCTTTCACTGAATATCGAAGCCATTCTCTTACACAGGTGTTTATTTCAATGTACTCTACACATCTTATTAAAGCTGTAGATGACTACAGTGTAACAGGGTAACTATGGAAGTACATTTAAAGGAAAAGGCTGTCCTCAATTCAGAAAAGGCTGTCCTCATTTCAGGGAAGTCGTCATTTCAGGCTGTGCAAGGAACACATCACAGAAGAAATTAATACAGGGAACCTACAGTGCAGCAAAGGAGAACTCCTGCAAGTGAGCCATAATCAAAGGCACTAATTAGTCAGTACTGAGTCAGACTGTATGATCTTTCCACCTTATCTCAAATTATTACAAAAATAGTCACATGACTTGCATATTGGATTCCTTCCAAGGCACACTTTTCCAAAGCTTACTTTCCTATGAAGTAACTACATTTTAAGATTAGTTTCACTAATAATAGGATTCAAATTGAGGAAGGCCATAGAAATTGCCTTTGCTGTTAATGTTATCGAACTACAAAAGCGGTATGGGAACCTCATTCCTTTCATTTAATAATTATGACAATGAAAACTTCTCCACAACTATATCAGCTCGACTGGCAAAAGCAGGGATAAACTCTCTCCTGGTCGTTACTACAGTTCACCAGGAGGGTCAGCTTCAGGTGGCTCTGCACATTCCAGGTGCCTCTCCAGAGGCATGGAACAAGGACAATCAGGTTTGCTCTGCATTCAGCCAGGTCAGGGCCAAAAAGAGTTTATTAGCTCCAGTTTCATCATGGACTGTAGCAGTTAAATGTTTCCAGAGGTACGTGACTGTAGAAGCTGTATAGATCCAAGTGAACTAAAAAAAATCCCTCAGCTAGACCCTCATTCGGTGGTTTCACAGTTTGGCCTGGGAATCATCTATATTATTTAAAAATATCCTGATAACTGAATACTAAATTAAATAACTACTAAACAAATTTTAAATGGAGGTACAGTTAAAAAATTTTTATTTTACACAGCATTTTATGAAACCTAAAGCTAACAGAGAGTTTCCACGTAGAAATTCTTTTTAAAGTATTTTTGGATTTTACACGTTACCACAACTGCAGGAACTCAAGCACAATGCTCAAAAAGCTAACAAAACTCCAAAACACTCCTTGGCTTTTCAATGAATTACGTTGAAAATCTTATTCAAAAACAAGCAGCCATGAAGATGCACTTGTGGCAGGTTTCAGTTTCAGCTAGTTTTTTTAACCAAATAATCGTCCTTTAATTGCCATCACTTTGTGATATTTCTAGGATATCTCTCTGACCGCATTTTTCTATTATGAAATAAAGGAAAAACTGTAAAGAAAAGAGGACAGATGAAGAAAGCAAAGAAAATAAAAGTTTCGTGTAGCGTAGTACATTTAACTTGTTTAATTTGTGATGTCATTATCCCAACAGGCAAAACCTCAGCTTCCTGCTGAGCAATAACCATTCTAACATGGCAGGAACAAAAGGAGGAAAAATGGGAAAAAGGAGCAGAAAGAGTAATTATGCTTGCATATACCTGTACTTGTGTTTTCTACCACTGTATAACACGTATACGTAGCTTACATTTTCATCAAATAAGGAGTAAAAAAATGGTATCATCATATCCAAAGCAAAAAGAGGTGTTTAATGTACACATAAAGAACCTGGTCCAGTGAAAGTTGTCCCTGCTCATGGCAACCTCCAGGGAGGTTGGGACTAGGTGATCTTCCAACCCAAACCATTCTGTGATTCTATGATACATTCTGTGCATCTATCCCATACTACTTCGACAAAATTACAAACTGTACAGCTATCTGTAGCTATTTAAAACATGCTATTATAATACTTTGTACAGACTAACATATTCAAATCATGCATGCTATTTAAACAATAGTTCACCTATAAAATGTGATCATCTGAGAAAAATATAACTAATGTCATTCTTTCACAATACTTATATATTAGTATATTTTTCCAGATGAAAAATAAAGCTTTGGAGAAAACTGAAGGATCATTAAATGAAAACAAAAACTGTTATGGGACATTCACTTCAGAGTTCGTCTTGATGATCCTTGCGGATCCCTTCCAACTCAGAATATTCTGTGATTCTGTGTATGAATTTTCCTTTTGCAAAGCTCATTTGAAGTTCATGAAGAAGAAGTGAAATTCTGGGGAGGAATAAGTCACTGGTAAATTTACATTTCAAAATCTTAAGAGAATGATGGTAAAGTCAACACACAAGTACAAGAGTACAAGCATCTCTGTACTCAACAACATCTCTGCTGTTCCTGCACACAGTTTATATTTATCTAGTTTGACAAATTTAAGTACACAATAATTTTTTTAAACTTTGTCTTCCTGTTAGATTCTTGGCAAGTTAACTAAAGACTGGCCTGGAAAAAATGAAAAAAAATAAAATACTGTGTACAGTACTTGAGTGAAATCAGGAATTGATATAGCAGTCAAACTGTGCACACTAATACCCATTTTCTTGTGTGATGACAGCTGCTGTAGTCAATTCAAGAGGACAGGTTGAAGAAGACAGATTCAGTCTGAACAGTAGCACAAGCAGTAAAAAGGCATGTTTTTGAAAATGATGAATGATATTACAGCAGAGTAGGATATAAGTGGTTTGACTACTATCTTGAAGATTCATAGCTTAATCTTGAAGATCAGTTTATCACACACTTCTAAAGGAGGGCAGAAGATTGAAAAAATCATAAAATTCTAATTAAGCTGTGACTTGCTCTCATTTTCTAGAATCAATTAATTAAGCATAATTTAAAATAACATAAAAGCAGGGTAAAACATTAATGGTGACTGGAGGCAGCAACATGACAAATTACTTGTAGAAGAGAAAATATTTCACAACTTTTTTGCTTTACAGAGGCACAAATATACCTCGGGAGCACAACAAAAAGATAATTATAGTTGAGTGGTCTTAATTTGTCACTGAAAAAAACATTTTTTCCTTATAATAATGCGAAGTAATACACCGGTTCTTTTAAAATTCCACATATCAGACGATTAGTCTCTATTTTTAACATATTACATTTATGGTACTTCTTGCCAATGCTTAATTGAGATGGACATACGGGTTCCTTGCAAAGTATTTAGAAAGAATATTTTGTAACTTTTGTAACACTGCAACTTGTCAAAAATTCATGAGTGATTTCTGTGTGTTCTTCTGATTGCTTTCTTCCTGAAAATCTTAGGAGACACTCAGTGACTCAAAAACAAAATTCTCGAACAATTCCAGAAAAAATTACTGCAGACCCAGAGATTTATCAAAGCATTAGAATAATCATCTCTCTTCCTAAGAATCAATACAAACATTACTTTTCACAGAAAACTTCATTTAAACAAACAATGTAGGAAATTACCTAATCTGCTCCCATTTCTGGGCATTGCCATGAAGGAGCCGAGGCTGCCCCCTATGACGCTATGTGGTCTCCGTAAAGGGGGCTTCTTGAAAGATCCTGTGTATTGGTGGAGAAACGAGTGCATGCTGTGAGATGTTGGAGGCCTGCCATTCTTCACAATAGGCTCTACAATTCACAAGGATCAAAATATTCATTGCCACAAGCAAGTAGGAGTGTCAGGAACATGCCAGAAGGAAAAAAAAAAGAAAAAGAAAAAAACCAGTTACTAAACAGGAAATCACCAGTCTGTTAAGATTATCTTTCATGCTAACAGTAGACCATCATACTACTGCCATTTCTCTATTAACAAATGAGTACAAAACATGGCATTAAGTATTATGCAAATTTAATTTTATTAAATTCTGTCACTCTGATGCTGGATGAGTAAATGTGCTGAATATACAGTCTTAGAACTTCAAGAAAATGAGAACACTGTAATTATTTTCTACTGTCTTACTGCACAGTGTCGAATCTTTACTATAATTTAAACAGAACAGCTGTTAGATCAACTATGATGAGCAAATTCAACTGCAAGCCGTTGCAAACATTCTGCCTCTCAAAATTCTCGCTTCACTAGTAGCAAGATCTTGCTATTGGGCGTCCTTAGAAGTAAACATACCTGTCTATACCTACTAGAGCTGTCATGTCATAATTAAAGTTATTAACTTACAAGATATCAGAAAAATTAAGTGTTCGATTTGTTATTTTGCCTTTCTACTGGATTGTACTTCAGACAGTTCATAGTACTTAAGACTTAAAACTAGGATTTTGAGATTTTTGTAAAAGTTATTATTACTGATAAACACTTTCTAAAAAGATAAAATGTTATAAATTTTAAAATCTTATTTACAAGTGTGCACAGAAATAGAGTGTTCATGTTCTCTCAGTAACCTGACTGTGCACACATGGACTAGCACTCAAAGGATTGACACGGTACTAGAAGCAGACTAACTGTAAAAACGCAAGAGGATTTTTTTACCCCAAGAAGAAGCAGAACAGATGTCAGCTTGCATTGACTGTCACAAAACTGGATTTATCAGAACCGCCAATGAAGTCATTCATACAAGAAAATACAGGAGAAATACTCTCACTTCAGAAAAAGAGATCAGAGTCATTTGGCAGCTACATGCAAGCACTGTCCCTGTACTAGGGTAAAGACCAGAAGATATGCTCAAAAGCCACTTGTGATTCAATTGATTTTATTTTTCCATCATTTGATTCTTATTAACATTACAGATTTGTGTTGTTTGGAACTATTCAGAAGACAGAAAACGCAGCAGCCGCGCATTGAGCAACCTCAGCACAAGTAGTGCTACTGAACAGAGCAGCACCCACCAAGGTGTCACTGGAGCCACTGCTCCCAGAGTGTAGCACAGACAGGATCTTCTCAGAACTCCACTCATGCCTACTGGGACAGGGAGTAGTCTGGGATGCCATTTCATCATCCCAACTTATATTCCCACATGCAGGGACCCCAAAATCTTGCTTTCTCTTCCAAAATAAGGTAAGAAGAACAATATAGCTAGGAGAAAATTTTGTATGGAAAGCAGAATTTCAATGGTGAAGGAAAATAACAGCAAGAAATACCTATTATTCTAATAAAAGCAGGATCCTGATGGGAACCCACTCTCTCCCCACATATACAAAAACCTTGTGCATATATTACTATGACTAGTCTGAAGCAAAGAGACAGAAGTACACAGAACTATCCAAGGACAGGGCAGTGACTTTAAGAAATAATTGTGCAACGGATTTTTGCAAATAAACATGTATAACACAGTGAGACAAAAAAAAAACCCAAACACAAAAAAACCAAAAAGAAACACCAAGAAAAGACTAACTCAGCTGCTGCAGAAAAAAACCAACACAACAACGACAAAAAACCCCGGAAAAAAACCATGCTGCAGGCAGAAAACCAAATGTGAAAGGACATGTCAGCACTTATAAACCTGCCTGCATCCTTCAGTTACCATCCTTCATAAATACAGCTTCAAAGTAGGTGAACATGATGAAAACTTCACCACACATCCATGTATATCCTCATGAAGTATAATCAGGGTCTTCAAAACTCTGCACATCTCTGTCCCAAATGCTTATTTACATTTCTAATATTTTGCATCATCCCTTTTGACTTAAGCATGGTATAAGTTTCCTTCTTGTGTTCCTTCAACAGCATGTTTATCCTAGGGCAGCAGGTAGCAAATTCCTCATAATTTTTTTTTAATGGAATCTATTACTTATTCCACATGACACTGTAAAAGTTAAATGCATATACTATATACATCTATAATCTGCTTCCTATAATTTTATCTCTGTGATTATAGGTTTGATTTGCCTTTAAAAAAATGGTTCCCTATATAAAACTCACAAACATTCCTTAGCTTAGTGTCACTGTACTAAGTAACCACTCAAAGGCTTAGCTGACATGATGGAGGTGTCTCCAGCAGCACAGCAGGTATTTTCATGCTGCTGTTGCTTTAATATTCAGTCACAGTCAAAATGAATGATGGAAATTAAAAGGGGAGTAAAAAAACAACAGAAAATTCACTGTGCAAGTGTATCATACACAGTCTGGTCTTCCTCTCTCATATAGATTAAACCAGTAGAAATATGATACAACCCACAGACTTTGTAGAGGACTGAAGAGGGCACTTAGGAATCAGCTGCATCCACCACCTCCTTCAGCACAAGAGGGAGGGTAGTGAAAGAGCCAGCTGTGGCAGGTTGCAAATGGCACACAAAATGATTCTTCACACCACGCAGTCTGTGGTGTTTCCTCACCACAGGAGGCTACAACTGTCAGAACTTACAAGGCTCAAGGGGAGACGGAACAAGAAATCTGCTCAGGGTTACTAACCACACAGAGACTTGCCTAGTTCACGGAGGCTCTGAACTAGAAACCAGTACAGTTCTCTGGGGAAATGATGTTATATTTTGAGCTCTAATCTTAGACTTGCCCTCAAATGTCATCCTCAGAGACTGGAGAACAGACAGGTAGAACTCCAGCTGTCCTTACAGCATAAGACTTCTGCAGCACCTGGGCAGTTCACTTGTTTTGGCTCTCGCTGCCACAACCATTCCAGCAAGGGTCTTGTTAATTATTTATCTCTAGCTCTTTTTCCTTACCCTGCTCTATAATTTGTAATTCCAAACTGATATGGAAAGAAGTTGAAGCAGGGACTTCTCAGTGGTTCTTTTTAAACTGTATTTCGTTGGTTGTTATTATATTCTCTTCCTATTTTGTCTAAAAAATCATGAGATCTTTGACTCATCTTTCAAGAAATGCCATTTCAACTCTTACATTTCTTATGCAGCCTACTAAGCTATCACACAAATCTAGTCTTTAAGTGCGGACAAAGTTAACATTCTCAATGAGAATATAAATTATGTATCATAAATTATGTGTTATACTGATGTACAGGATGACCATATGTATTTATTTTCAAAGTCTCTGAACACTTTTTACAATTAAAAATATTTTATATCTATATAAACATTAATTTTATATCTATAAAAACATACACACCCTTTTTTTAATGCCATGTTCATGTTATCTTAAGTGTACACCTTCAGCAAGGTTGAAGACTGGGCAATGCATGGTGATTAGGCAGTGTTGTATTACTCGATTTTCAAGTCTGGTGAATGCTGAGCTGACCATTTATTTCAATTGGATAATTGTCTTGTATTTCTCACTTTCTATCACTCAAACTTCCGTTACTATTAGCATGACCCAAAATAAATACAACAGCACTATCCAAAGACAACACTGTATAAAATACAACCAAGCCTGGCTTATTAACCTTGTAAGAGTTGCTAGACCATGTTACTGATTTGTTTCAGAATACACACATATACTTTAAGAAAATAGAGTACCCAGTAAGGTACCACTGCTTTGCTAAGTTTGAAATAATGCCAACACTAAGGCTAACAAACAAAAAACCCCAGAAAATAACTCAAATGAGACACTGAAATCTTTCAGTTATGAAATTACATAAATTCATGTTTTAACATAAGTGGAACTGTCTTTTATTACTTCATAATTATGAGAACTGCCAGAATCAAGTAAAACATTGGTGTATATAACTACTAAGTAGCCTGTCTGAGGAATTAGCTAAAACCAAGTATTTCATAAAGATTTTTCCTTTAACTGCAATTTAAATTAACCATAAAGCCTGACCTGAAATTACTCCTGAGTTAAGCAATTTTTCAATAAATCCATGATATTTCTTTTCCTTGTCCATCTATAAGAACAAAGACCTACACTACCACTTTCTTTCCTGTGCTGGATTTACTTAACTGGATTTACTTAATCTAAGCTCCAGAGAGCCTGCAGAATTGCCTGGCATTTCTTGGCAAGGCCTCAGCAACTGACATACTGTCACACATCAGTCAGCTGGTGGATTAAAGAAAGAAAGTGTTTTCATTAGGAATGTAAATGCATTTTAAAACACATTTTATGAATATATAATACCACATACTCAACTACCTCTTTCTTTTTTTTATGTCCCATGAGTATCTCTATTATGTGACAAAAAGACCAAGCTGGTTTTCAGATTTCACTGCCTAAATTTTGGAATGATATTTGCTTCAGCTAGCTTTAATAAAGAACCAAAATCACCTGTCATACAGCACGACATTATCCCTTAAATCAAACATCTCTGACAGAGCTGATTAAGTCTGCAAAAAAATATTCTATTCCATAACCGTTATCCATTCTGGACATGGAAACCATACAAATACATAAATATGTATTTTAACTTCATACAAATAAAGTACACAACTGGAGTTTTTTCTAATCAAGTGATACTGGAGACACAGAATTTGATTGCTGATTTGGGTACAGAATGGGGACTGAACCCAGGCATGTTCCGTATTCTAAGTAAGGATGAACTCTGGGTGACAGCAAGCCTGCCACAATTCACTGCTGCTACCTAAAATGTAGCTCAAGGTCCTCCTCCCACAGAAAAGAAGTGTAATTTTGATTTAGGTTTTAGAACTAGATCACCATGGAGTACACAGAGCGGGTGCTGGCAGAAAGGTGGGGGCAGAACCTCACTCACCACTCTTAGCTGCAACTTGACTCTGGACTGGCTCAACTATAACAAAATCTCAGTAAATGTCCCAAGAATCCGCTACCGGTTTTTATAGGTCAGGATTCTACATAGTTTCTTTTCCACCCACCTTGACCTCACCCTTGCTCCAGAAAACTTCCAAGGCTGTTTTTTTTTTAATTTTCCATTTTGATAGAGAATGAAAAAGTGTCAAAAATCTACATTTATGAAACTAAATATTCATTCTCTAAACAGCCTTGCATTCATGAAGCTTGTGATGCATTATGACAACCATTTAAGATTATTTATATAGGTCTCTCAAATGCCACTGTCATAGAGCTTAATCATATTTTGGCATCATCTACTACACATTCACTTAACTGATCTGAATGTATGCTCTGTTAATAATTACTCAATTTTTACATGTGTCTCAGCAATAAAAACTGATTTTTTTTTTTTTACTGAAAATACAAAATATTTTGAACAAACTGTTGAAGAAGCTGTTGTCAAGAAGCTCTTTATTTCTTCAGAAAGTGTAGAATGTAAGCAGGTGAATTTCTGACATTTTAGAGTTGGCATGCTGCACTGTACAATACTTAATCATACTGCTATAAGGCAGTCAGATCCACTCAGTAAAATTACTTGATTGCAGGTGACAGCTCCCATATAAGTTATATTTAAATAACTCAAAGCAGCAATACGTTTTCTATATATGTACTCTCAAGGAGCTGGATGACGAACACTACAAAATACTGTGTATTTATACATTATTTTATGGGATTGTTTCCTTGGGTTCCAATATGTGATACCCAGGAAAACATTAAGTCACTCTAAAACCAGAGCAACCACTCAATATCACTTAAAATAGTATTTATTCATTAAATAATAAGATGAAACCTCTGAACTATTGACTATTAAAATATTAAAAACTTAGCAAAACCTCAAGGGATTCCTCCCATTGCTCAAAGTTATCCATCTGAGTGCAGCAGTCATGTCCAGAGCAAATATTCTTCACTTGGACGACACAGGGCAAAAAATATTTGGCAGCACATTTGAAGAAATATGCTGACAGAAACCCAGAGAAACATGGTCTTCAACCTTCGATGAGAAATGAAGTACATCAATTACTAAAATGGCACTGTAATGTCCTGTAAACTTTATTTTTTAATTTGGGACAAAAAGGGCAGACATTTTTCCAAGGCTTCTGTTTAAACTACAAAACCAAGAGATAATATGCAACGCAAGGAATGAGATCAAGCCATCTAAAAAAAAAACCACTAAAAAAAGCCTTCAAAGCTGACTTCACATGCAGTGAGGTTTTCCCTCTGGTCTGGATACCAAGACAAAGATTACAATCAAGTGAAATATATTCAAAGCCAAAAACCTGCCTTTGAGATTTACGTATTTCACAGTGTTTAGAAAATAATTCTCAGGCAGTATTTTTGTTCATCAGATCTGCACTGGAACACAGGCATGGCAGTTCTGTACCTCAAATCATATAAGCATAGCAAACCATCAGTTTAAAATCGTAACTGCAGAAGGCATCACACTACACCAAATCCTTCAGAAAACTGTTTTAGCTACAATTTAAATTAATGTGAGTCAGCATCATAGCCAAGATACAAGCATCCCTGGCCTCTATCCTTGCATCCACACACACAGCTACCCTGTAACTCCCAATGCAAACATCTGTGAGACCACGCTGCCAACCAAACCAGGAAACAGAGGATCCGGCTCCTTTTTGCCCTACTTTCAGAAATAAATTGTGTTGGCTAGTTACGTGTGTTTTACTTTTCTGTACTTAGAAACTCCATCTGAGCACCATTTGAGAACAAATCTCTACATATACACCAGTGAGCCTACAGAGTGAGCTAACAGAAATTTGGTGTATTTAGAGAGTCCACTTCTGCATCTAAGCATCACGTTCTCCTGCCAAATCTGTATTCTACTTGTGAAGGAGAACAATTATGAGTGGACAAGACCTACACATAGCCCTCCAAGACTATGAGTTTCTGCAGCATGCTTTCAGGCACTGAATTTTCATGCTCATTTCACTTCATAAGCACTTCCACACATGAACAGAGCCTCTACATTTTGTGGGAAGAAACAAAACAGAAAGAGAAGAACACTATGTTGTGCAGTGTACGTGGGATGGAGAAACCACACTGAACAGTAATAATAAAAAGGGATGTATACCATAGCACAGAAGGGTACATACAGACTATAATAAAAACACTGTCAGCACGGTGCAAAGGACAGTCCAAGGTGCAGTGTTTAGCTGTGACAACTGCCAGTGACTTGCAGTAATCTGTAGCTCTTGAATGAGTTCTAGCAATTCTGGGGATTTTTTCCCTCCCACCCCCCACATTTTTATACTGATACTTTCCTCCAACATCAACAGAAAAAATGTACTGATTTATTACCAGTAAGCATTTCTATGCTTATATTTTCAATTCAAGAACATTGTCTCGAAAATATGTTGCAACACACTGTTTTACTTCCACGCTCAAGGAATCACACAAAGCAGATGGAATGGGAGTTTCTCAGCTCTGTTAATGAGACGACATGATTACAGCTACAAAGGCATTTGGATGTTCCGAGACAGTATTGCAATGTGTCAATTTTTATAAACATTCACCCCTCTTATCAGAGTATTAACTAGTCATTAATGCCTTAAACCTAAAAAACACTTACGCACTTTACCGTAGCTGATCCTTCCATTATTACTCACACCTGTAAAATTACAAAAAAATTATGCAAGTGTTCGTGAGAATGGATCCTATGATCACATCACCGAGCTAAAACAGACTAAATGGGGATAAATATTATTCTACAAATTCATATAGCCATTTCTATCAGAATTTCACTTGTTTTGCTTATTATGTGCATGTGTATTTATCTATATATAAAAACAAAACTTGACAAAATAGAATGCTTTCCAAGTTACTTACATATAAATGTAAGAGCTGTGGACATATTTTGGAACACGTCTTGCAATTATTATTAAAAGCATGCTTGGAGTTTGTGATAATGCAATTCATAACATTAGGCAATATAGCCACATTTTCTGCTTTTATTAGAGAGCATATGTATTTAAAGTATTTGCATAAATTTTACACTGAATTGGGCTTGAAATATGCATGATTTGGATATTACTTCTAGCCAAATTATATTAGTATGTCATTGGCAAAGAAAAATTTCAGGAGTAAATTTAGTCATCAACTTCTACAAATTACCATTTAGTATTTTTAATATTAATCTGAATACATATATTAAGGTAGAACCTAGAATTAAAAAAGCAAGCCGGCACATTGTTAGTATGCTGAATGAAAATATGGCAGAATGAAAAATAAACAACAAATCCACCTAATTGATTTTATATGTTGAAACATCAGAGACCATGAAAAGCTTTTGTACTTAGCTAAAAGGCTAGCCCGAAGTATACTTCATACAGTCCACAGTTCATAAGGCTTCAGATGTATTATTATGCATTTCACTGGTCACTTTATTTTTATGGTTTATGCATATGATTTGGCAATGCTTCCTCACCCAGAAGCCAATTATGATGAACATAATTTGTAAGGAAGATTTAATTATATATAGGTTTCTGGTCACTAAATAATTTGATGGTGTTAAAAAACCCCCAAAACTAATGGTTATTCTACATTCAGTGCAATAGGTCTGTGCTACTGCATTGAACAATGTGGGTTGATCCCTGCTAATCCCATTTTGCTGCTCATGGATGAGTGATGCATACTGAGATTGTAGTGACATCACATGATGAAGGAGTATGTGTATGAAATGAGATTGCATACAAAAGGTTAGCTGATTCAATGGTATCAATGTACTGCAAAGAAATGAAAAGTTATGTATCTATTTTTATGTCTGTGAACTACAAATGGGACAATTTGTTCTGCATTAGGAGTACTGTTCTTTCAGTCTTGAAACAACCCACTCAGAGCTGGAGCTAATGACAAAGTGGGCCTCTGGATGGGAGCAACAGTTATTTGAAATCACAGGCAATTGTTTGGGAGAAGAAACATTTGACAGGGGACTGAACAACACGGGTTATTGCAAAAGGGTGATCATGAGGAAAGGTCCCTGGTACTATGTACAAGTGATCTACACCTGGAATGGCAGCACTGAACTGGAACTTTATTTTAAAGATTTTACGGGGTATGTATGTGAAAATCAGAAGGACATGAGCGTGGATTCTAGGTCAGCACAATGTGATTTTCTACGGACTTAGTCCCTACAATCTCTACAGTCCATTAACACAGCTGTTTCCTAGGAAGGAAAAAAGCTAGCATGTATAAAATTATAACCTTCAGTGAACGCAGCCATCAGCATGGAATGACAGGAGACAAGATGAGCAATTTGCCAGAAAGAAAAAAAATAAAACAAAATTGGACAACAACACCGGAACAAAATGCTGCTGTAAAGGTCTTCAGTGTTCAGGGTCTAGCCTTGACTTCTGGCATAAAATGCACAGTTGCAATGCCCTTCAACTCTCACTTCTCAAGTTGATGATGTACTAATGCTTGAAAATAAAGCATATATGAAGAACCACTTTCTGAAGGCTATTTGTATCCCTGGCTTTGATTCTCTGTAGATCAAGACACTGGCATGCCTTTTAAAGTTTTTAAACTGTGCTTTTAAAGTTTCTTTAAGAGCAGATTCAAAGCCTGTAAACTGGGCACATTTGGGTTTCTCTGTTCCACAAGGTAAAGGAGCTGTTTGTTCCTAAAAGCAGAACTAAGGAGACGGTTACTCCTGCCTTCTGAGACCAGCACCATCGCAGTAAGGGATGCACTTTCAAGATCTTAATGCAGCTATCACTTTATAAAATATTCTTCAAGAGACTACATCCTCTCATGTGTCCCAGCAGGATATTTAGAGTTAGTACAGGCTTCTTACCACTCTGATTTTATAAGATGCCAAGGCAAACCATCCTCATTTAAGCAATCCTTTTTAAGCAATTTTTTTAAATGCCCACTGAAGGATTTTTTTTTCCAGGCTATGTTCTCTACTAAACTTGTCTTTCACCAAAAGAGACAACTCATTACTTGACTGTTTTTCCAGCACTTTTCAGTGCCCAAACCCTACTCTTTCCAAAATATCTTCATCTGTGGGAAAGTTAGAGCTTCCTTTACAAAAGCAAGACTAGTAAGCATTTTCCAACCCTACTTCCTAAGAAAAGTAGGGTTGAAAAGGAAAAATAAAGGAAAATAAAAATTCATAATGTAGTATCCTGTTCATCTCTGCAAGATCAAAGATAGGACAGATACTAATAAATGCATTCTGTAAGAATCCAAAAAAGGTAGCAAGTGTCAGTGAAACTTTTTTTAGTGACAGAAAATGATGAGTAAAGATTACACACAAAAGTACAGTATATATTTCTTCTTCTTTCAAGAGACCAACAACACCGTGAATGCATCCAAAAAGACTCTACTAAGGCATCAACAACATTCTGCATGTATAAGCATAGCATATAATGTATCATAATATTAGCATATGAAGTTCCTTTTGGCCAATTAAATAACATGGAAAGCAAAATAAAAGGAGCACTAAAAGCTAAATAAAAAATTTGCAATTAGAAATATTTTCTTGAATTGTATTTTTATCACTTTAAGTATCTGCTGAGAAGTTGCTTGTCACAGTTTGGCAACAAGCATGGAGAAGACATCTAAGTATTGCTCTTTGGGATAATTCTCAGATAAATATTACAAGCCGCAAATGGATTCACACATGGTTTAAGATGGCATAAGCTCACATTTCTGTAAACAAGTTATTGTGTTCTCTGTCTCCTGAGCTGACAGCCAGGACATGGTCCAGTTTAAAGTAAAATGCTTTTATTCTTCCTGAATTCAGTTTTCAAATGAATCAATTCAGCAACTCAGTCCACTACATTCACTGATGCTGGTAACAATGCTTATTTCTTAGTGTGAAAACAGTTTTCTTAGCACTTATTTACATAATGAAATCAATCTTGCAGAAGTAAATACAGGTCTGAAGAAAATATGCATCAGTAACTAAGGTGAATACAAATAAAATCATGTGGGACAACCCAGTGCCTCAGAAAGGACTTAGTAGATATCAGCGTAAAAATACTGTAATTGTTGCTTTCAGAGCAGACCTGTTGTATCAACACATAAAAAGTTGTAATAAACCTTGTTTCCCAAAATACTGGGCAAGGCCCATGATAAAAACAGGACAAAAGCACGAATATACCAGGGATTAAGGGCAAAAATGAAAAACATAACTAACTTTGTTTTGCCAAAGGTAAATACAACTTCCAAAACCTTGGTATGCAACTTATCTAGAATGGGGTTTTAAATGTCTGCAAGGCAAATTCCATTGCCTCTACCTCTGTTCAAATTTCCCGGCCCTGTCAGTTTTCAGTGAGAAAATTCAGAATTATTTATTGCTGTGAAGTGGGGGAAAAATAAAATTCAGACCACTTGCTAATTGAGAAAAATCTTAGATGTCGGCAGAGTAAAAAATAGTCAGCACTGAAGATGACTTAAATGCTTCAGCCCAGGAAACAGAACAAGCAACAAAACCCCTTCCAGTCATTATTACAGCAGACTGCATTCAAAAGCTGTATCATCATTAATGTGGACTTTACAGCAGCTAGTATGTTTATGGGATCAGCCAAAGACTTCTGTAAGATACACAGGGGCAAGCTGGTTATCCTGAATGTTTCTAGTCACCCTGATATTGGTGAAGAGAAGTACGACTGAGAGATGTGAAGAGATGACAGAATTCAGACTAGTGCCCTGCACCACCAATGGGAAGGAAAACAGTTTTATGTATAATACTTAAGCAATTAGTATCAATCATATTACTAAATAATGATTTTGAGAAAAGACTCAGTTTGAAGCCATATGAGCTGATATGAGACCCAGTAAATTCATACAATGGGTTTGTTTACTGAAAGAGCATCTGTGAGCCTTGCTGCGCATGACATAAAAAGATAAATTTAGGTAGCTTTTGATAAATAGCTGTTTTGATATTTTTGATAAATATTGTATATTTATTGATATTTTGATAAATATCAACCTGTTGAAATAACCAGGGCAGTTGAATATAAGATAAACCAAAAGAAATGGTTAGGAAGGAAGTCCCTGCAGCTATGAAAACTAAAATAAACCCCAGCAACACTCACTTGACAAAATTCTTACATTTTCTACAAAGTGAAAGACATGCTTACCGTTATCTTTGCTGCTGTTTTCTTCAATTGTCATTTGTTCTGCCAGCTCAGACAGTGATTCATCAATGGTCTGGCTTCCCCGCAAGGTTAAGGAAAGTCTCCTCTTAAATTTTTTCATTCTATCAATATTAAGTCTGGCTTAAGGAAGCCTGAAAACAAAAATAAACAACAAAAAGTGAGAAAAAATTATTTAAGCAGAAAATGAAATTTAATTGCCTGACATAAAAATGCAGGAAGGCTTACAGAAAATATAGGCAATATCCAAGTTATCCTTAAAACAATATCCTTAAAGTAAGATTACTCTACTGGATGGAAGAAGAATGTCTTGAGAGGCAGATGCCCACACACTTTTGCAATTTTTATTTCTGTTTGGGAAAATGAGAATCTTTGTGTTTTTTAAAAAAAACAAAACAGCTAATGTGATCACTAGTTTTACAGTCTGATAATAAAACCAACTGTCATCTGAAAACTCGATAGCGTGTGCTCCATCGCCTTCTCCACAGCCTCTTCCACCAAATCCACTGAGCAGAAAGAGGCTGTAACCTTCTCTTTTTAAGCCCATTTGTTTATGATGATAACTTACTGAACTTCTCTGTATTTTGCCCTTTTCACAAAAGGAGGAAGGGGACAACGCTGAAAGCCTTAAACACAAAAGCAATTCTCAAACCTGATCCCACCTACGGAAATAAGACAGCCAGGGCCTGACAGTGTTGACTAAAACAGGTATTTCTCTGAAGCTGAGTGGTAAGACTAAAGTGGGAACAAAGCAGAAGGCACTTTCTCCATCGATAGTGATAAACTAACAAGCCATAATAACAAAAGGTCCAGGTCAATAAACATGTTGCCACAAGTCTAAGCTGGTAAGTGAACTTTGTGGTGTGCCATATGTTTGACCTTGCATGACAAGAGGCACGAGTCCCTCCTTAGTCTATATGGACAATTCACCCTTGATGTTATTTCACAGTAACTTGTTCATCTGCTCACAACCTCTAAGATTCACATGTGCAGTGTCCGACACAAGCAGAGCATAGGTTTAAGTCTGAGCTCATATATTTTTTCCCTTCCATCAGCTTTTTTGCACTACAAAATGCATAATTCACATACAAAATCATATTTTCCTCGATGTTCTCCTTTAAATAGAGAAATGCAGGAAGTAGTATGCCACAAATCTACATTTATTGTATTGACAGCATTCCCTTAAGCATACACATTTCAACTGTGGAACTTACTCTTTGTTTAGATGCTCCATAATAAAAAGGAAAACAAAGTGGTGGAACAAACCTGGAAGTGGCTGCGGGTGGTAGGAGAATGCATACATAGACTGAACTATCACAACACTAGATTGCTTAGGACAGAAAAAAACACATTAGGTATGGATAAAAGAAGACCTTTGGGATATGAGCTCCAAAGTCTGAGATGAACAGTAAAATCATTGGCAAAGCAACAGCTGCATCCAAGGGGAAAGAGGTGGATTACAAAACGGTAACATCTCAGACAACCACAGTTAGTATAAACAGAAACAGTGGGGCACCGGGTACAGATATATAGGAAATAAAATATACCGATGGAGATACAGTTAAGACAGCAGTTTCCAAACTGCCCCTTTAATGCACTACTGTATGTGCAATAAAGCCATGCCTTAGTATAAGTAATTTTGCTCAAAAGCAGGATATGCTTATTGTTAAAAACCTGCATTCAGAAAACATTCCAAGGGGAACATTTAATTCTCCTGTTCAGGACCAGCTTTAAAGACCTTACTTGAAACGGTTTTATTTCTGCATTTAACTTTCCAAAAACAACGGTTCCTGTTTCTCTTAAAAACCCAGTTTTGTAAAATATTTGGAAGGACACAGCATTTATATGTAGTTTTCTCAATTCTCCCACAATTTTCTTTGAAACCTGCATTTTCCTACATGTATTATTCTCAAAAAGATACATGCAATTTTTAGCTATGTAATACCCTAAAGCTACTTGACAGCACAACAATTTCTTTCCAATTTTCCACTTGGGCAGTAACCAAAAAACCAGGTGCCTTTATAGGGAAACAGGCTGTTCCTGGATTTTGATTTTGCAAGTATTTAAGCTTACACAATTTTTTAATTAAAAAGAAGGTCTACTGCTGAAGAATATTACATATAAATTAACAGATGGGTGGATTAGAAAATCTAAGAGACATTCTAAATCTCAAGCTAATAAAAAAGCAAGTATTTTGTTAACTATAGTTACAACATTTCTCCTGTTAAAGGAATGTTTCGTGGAGCAGCTAGGATTCTGATTAAGTTCACAGCTTGATTTTCCAAGAATTTAACAGTAAAAAGGAATAAGGAGTGGGAACGTACATGTGAGTGAATGCTTCCTTCTACTGAAATGTAATTCTGTTTTTATAAAGGAAAAGATGCTCACAGAAATGAAACCAAATTTTCCTCCCTTAAAGCACCAGTATTCTTGCTAATCCAGATTTGTAAAGGAGAGGGGGGAAAAAAGAATGGAAGGAGAAGTGACTAGTATCGAGCATTTGGAAACGTCCTATCTTTTTGACTTCTTCATTCTCACAGCCTAAGTTGTAGAGCCTGCTAAGTCTTGGTAGTTTGAGACCAGATATCAGTGAATGGAGCTTTGAAAATGTCACCTATACAATCCAAAGCTAGCACTGTTTCTTTAAAATGACAGCAATTTTGCAGAAAAGTCCTTTTTAATTCAGTTTAACAAAACTGGAGGGAAATTGTCTGACACTCATTTTCACCAATTCATAGCAGATGCATACTTACCTCCTTTTAACAGTAAATCTAATTTAAATCCAAACTAGAATTACTCGATTAGTAACAGACATGTAATAGCAATGATTAGATGTAATAAGACTCATGATGTTTCTCCAAATTCTTAAAAATTGTGAGAAGAATATACTGTTATTTTTATATTTAGTTCTAGAATAGAAACCACAGCTTGACTGTTCTATTCTGTAAATTTACCTACTCTGAATACATAATATGCAAATCAAATATTTTAGATGTCATAGCAGATAGATGCATACACTTGAATGCAACTAAGGCAAATTCTAGTCTTCTGCAGACAGAATGAGGACAAGCAATCTCATATGATACTATCTGATACAACCCACAAAAGCTGGCAAAGACTGTTCAATCCTTATACTGATATGATATGAAATGAAGGAAGCAACAATGTATCAAAGGAACTGCCGCTTCTTACAAAAGATCTGCAGTATAACCCTGAAAAATTGGTCTTTTTGTCTTTAAAAGCAACAGAAGTTAATCCTTGAAAAAAATGCCAAAATTTACATTTTCTGTTTTCCAACACTGTCATTAACTCATTTGCCTTCAATAGTCTTAAACCCCTGTTTTGAACCCAAAGTCTCTAAATGTGATCTTTATAACACAGTTCTGAAAACAAACTCCAGTTTTTAAATCATCCAGGTTAAGATCAGATTTAAACATATGGGTTCTGGCTCACCTTCTCTGAATCAGACCAATCCTTCCCACAATGCCTATAGTATAGCACTTCACATTCAGCACACACAGATGTTCACAACACCCTGGCTATATAGCAGACAGACATTAAAGCATTTTGATTCCAAAAGAAGTAACTCAACCAGATGCCGCACTCGTATATTCACCAAAAATCAGAGGTCTTAGACTGCCAATGGCTAAATCCTCAAAAAACCCTACCACTTCCTTCAATCTCCCAGACCCTTGGTACCTTCATAATGAAAAAAGGAATGCATAAGACCTTCACACAATTAACATGCGTGCTTAATCCCTGTAAGTTTAAAAAAATTCAGCTAAAATGTTCAAAATTAAGTTATTTAACAGCTTAAATTTTAGTTTATTTCAGGAGGATCACAAATACCAAGATTACTACGATTCTGTTGATTCAAAGCCCTTTGAAGTCAAAGGGAACCTGTCCTTCAACTTCAACAAGCTTTGCATCAGTCTAAGTGCTGACTCTTCTGCTTCCAGAAGTTATATTGCATTAAGATACATCTACATAGAAATCAAGCACTATAAAAGTACTTTCCAACTTAGATACACACTGAAGTTGCTATCTGACTGCTTTTACAAGCTGCTTTACAAGGCAATAGGTGTTTTCCAAACATCCAAAGGCAGTTCTTGTTCCGGAAAACTCACCTGTAAGATGACAGCTGAAGTGGGGAGGAAAGGAGAGGATCAGAAACCCTACCTAACAGCATGAGCAACAGCATGGATGCAGCATGGTCACTAAGGAGGTTAGCAAACTAAAGCCACAGGCAGAAGACATCAAAGAAAGCAGGTAACAGCACACCATATGAACTCCTTGTGTCAGAAAGAGTGGTCGGAAAAGCTTAAAGTGCTGCAAACGATATTAATTAAAAACAGGAACAGGAAACACCTGTCAAGGAAAAAAGAATTCTAAAAAGAAAACCAGCTTTCTATCAAGTAATTTATATTTAATAAACTGTTCTTGATCTACCTGAATTAGAAAAACAAAACTATTGATCACATCAGCATGTTGCACATCAAATATAGAGCAAACTATTAATTACACTAATGAGAAGTATACAGATAATTTATCCAAGATCATAAACCATCAGTTTAAATGCTCATAAAATTCACACTTCCTTACAATCACAATTCTACTCTACAAGAATGGATTATAAATACAGCATCTTAGTCATTGCATCTGTTCTTTGTATTTGTTTCAACTTACATTTGTTCACTTCAATGAAGAAAATTTTCTACTGCATTTTTCTACCTCTGGTCTTTAGAAACAACACCAGACCCAGCAATTAGACTCTATTGTCAGGAACACAGCTACTTAAAAAGTTATTAGCTTTATGCTGCATTGGGTCAAAGAACTGACACTGTACAGATAAACATCTGACAAACAAGGCCTTTGTTACTGATGAAAGAAAAAACTGTGAAGTCAAATATCACAGCTTAGTTTGACCTCCCAAGTGCTAAAAGGGCAAAAGTACCCTCATAGCCTTTTTCTTATGAATAAAACAATATCCAATATGGAACTAAACTTTTGAGGTGAAGCTCCTTTTTATGTACTTACAGAATCACAGCCAAACAATTACTCAAAACTGGAGGTAGAAAGGTACTCACAAAGGTTAACTTCTTATCTTGAGGATAGTTTTACTAGGTAATGTAGG